TACACTCCCCATCACACTGGACTGTTGACCCTAAATATTTAAACTCCTGCACCTTCTTGACCTCAGCCCCCTGTAACCTCACTGTTCCACTTCCCTCCCTCTGGTTCATACACATGTATTCAGTCTTACCACGACTGACTTTCATTCCTTTTCTGTAGTGAGAGCAGACCTCCACCTTTCCAGGTGTTCCTCTACCTGTTCTCTGCTCTCACTACAGATCACAATGTCATCCACAAACATCATGAGATTCCTGTCTGACCTCATCTGTCAACCTGTCCATCACCATAGCAAACAAGAAGGGACTCAAAGCCGATCCTTGATGTAGCCCCACCTCCACCTTGAACTCCTCTGTCTGACCTACAGCACATCTCACTACTGTGGTACTCCTCTCATACATATCCTGAACTACTAATAATTGCAATAAATAAACCTTTTATATGGAATGAAACTGTAAATAAATTTAATGAAACAATTAAGCAAGATAAAATGCATACCAAATCAAGAAAAGAAATTACAATCACAATTACAATAATAAATAAATAATAAAATAATAATAATAAAATAAAAAGTTATAATCTTATATTAAAAAGTGCTACCTAAAATACAGTTACGTTACAACTATGGTAAAAAAAAGTACTAGGTAGAAAATAATAAAGACTGCTCATTATGCACGTGACAAACAGTAGGTTTCTACAGTGGGAAGCACAGATAGTCTCAGTGGTGGAAGAAATACTTACATTGGCAATTTATTTTATTACCTATTATGAAATAGTATTACTTTTGATAGTAACACAGTTCTATAACCAATTACCTTGAGATGATCAGACATTATAGTTAACATTATCAATATGGCCTCCGAAACTTATACTTTCACAGCCAAAGGTTTCTTTTGAAGATATTTTTTCAAGCTGTTTTCGAAAAGTTTAACACATGTGGGTTTCCGTAGTGTAGTGGTTATCACGTTCGCCTCACACGCGAAAGGTCCCCGGTTCGAAACCGGGCGGAAACATTAATTTGTTTTCCTATACACTTCGTCTTTACTAAGGAGGACGAAAAATGACTTAATTAGAAATAAAATGATAACATCAATGCAAAAATAAATACAGAAATAAATAAGTAAAAGAATAACTATTTTACTAAACGAATAATTAAAAGAATTTATTTTAACATATAATAATTATTTTCTTTTAATTATGCTTTTAGTTAATTATCTATTTTTTTACTTATTTATTTCTGTTTAGTTATGCATTAATGTAATCCTTTATTTATTTCTACTTAAGTCATTTTTCGTCCTCCATTTATGCTATGTTTTTTTCATACAGATGATACTTCGCTAAAATTTTGTAGTAATGTAGAAGAAATGACACCCACACTTTAGCCTAGGGTTTAGGTACTCAATGCATTTACAATGCAACCCTCCGAGATTCACACATGTGAGTTTCCGTAGTGTAGTGGTTATCACGTTCGCCTAACACGCGAAAGGTCCCCGGTTCGAAACCGGGCGGAAACATTATGTTTTCCACTTACAAATCATGTTTGTTAACTTCTCAAACAGGCACACTTTACCTCGTCTTTCATTACACATAGTCGCCAGACGTGTTTTGGCCTGATTGTCGTTTGCATTTTGTAAGAAATAAGAAATAGCCATTAAAGGGGGATTTTCGGGGTGTCTCTGAACGCGGCATTGAGGGGGCGTGTGTACCATTGCTGCCGTTTGTCGGCGTGTTGCAGCGTGGGAGCCAATCGATGTAAGCAGCGTTCTCAAAAACTTCATGACCACGTACTCCAAACACCAGTTTCACTGGTTTGTGCAACGGTCTTCGGTAAATGCTCGTATTTAACCCGTCAGTGTTTATTCAGAGCCTGTAAGTGCTTCTGTCTGACTGCTGCGCTAACCCAGCGTTAGCTTTCCGTTGAGATGCTAACGTTAGCATTAGTTGACAGTTTCACGCACTGTCTAGTGCGATACGTCTCATAGTAACTGGAATATTTCAGACTTGGAAAGATAAGTTTTAATTGCGAGCAGCGGCCATTTTGGTGTAGAATTGAAACATGTAGAAGAGCACTTTGAATTAAGCTGCCTCCAGGTCCCACTGGTAAAAACCATGTGCAGAGCTTATTTGTGGACATATTTGGATTAATAAACTGCTTAAATCGATTAATCAAAGCATAGCTGCTCATTAAATCTGTTGGTCAACCACTAGATACATTTCCAGGTTCCAAGAGACCAGAGTGATGGTTTGCTTTTTTGTTGGATAAACAATTTATATGACTAATCAGCAGTCAGTCTTGATGTTAAGTAACTCACCTGTGTACTGAAGAATCTTTTACAACATTAGAGAATTGTTTTGTCCATACTGAATTAAAGTAGAAGGTAAATGTGCTGTCAGGAGCTCCTGTCACAGAAAACCAGCTCCACATTTCTGTACTTAAGCTAACTTTGTGTTAGATTATTCAAGGAGAAAATCAGAATTAAAATTCAGCTAGTAGTTTATCTTATAACATATGCTCTTGCCACCCCACAGCTCAGTTTATATCACTGACTATATCTGACATTACATTGGCATTACATTGTTTATAGTGAATCTGTATGATGCTTAGAACCCTTTTTGATGGATTGTGCATATATGTTTAGGCAAATTTAGCTGGTGCATATTTGAGGTTTAAGGATTATAAACTGTGCTGCTCTGCTACCAGCTCAAACTTCATGCACCGTCTTTGCTCACAGACTGAGAAGAATTCACAATGACACAGAAGCTGGTGATGCTCACAGCTGATCCAAAAGACAGCATCTGGGTTTTCTCTGCAAGAAAGTCCACTGGGAGTAATTCTGGATCCAGTTCCTGAAATATTGTTCAGGACACAAGGTAAGGGTGAACTGTACATTTCACCTGTCGTGTCAGCACGCTCCCACTCCACATGTTCACAGTGTAACTTTCTTGTTTATTCTGCAGAAAAGTCATCTGAATCTGGTTTGCTCAGGTTCTCAACAGCTTCATTCCATTTCGGGGTTTGGATATGAACATGGGCGACATTGACGAGTATCACATTTGGCAGCAGCGCATCCACCAGGGGATTAGGTATCAGAAAGGCGCGGTCCCCTTCCCGGAGTCTGTCAAAATCGGCTTGGAGTTCAACGCAGCATTGGAAAGGAAGGAGACATTGGATCCGAGTCTTTTAACAAATGCTGTGATGCTGGAGCTTTGCCAGTTTGCCAAAACGGTGACCAAGTCCGAGAAATATTTCTTGTTCGAAATGCTAGAGTACAACTTTGACCTCGGTGTGGATGTGGCCAATGACCTACAGTGCTATGAGTACGCAGCATGTGTGCACAATAAAATAAAGCTGCTAAAGGAACAAATCAAGTCGAAACCTCATAAATGGAATGAAGCATTTCTACTACCAGATGTAAACAGTATGATGGCATTTCTGGAGTCAGTGGGGCCCGGCCGCTACCACCCTAAAAAGAACAAAGTTGTGGATAGTTCACTTCTTACCGATGTTGGCAAAAACTGCCATTTTTCAGAAACTCTGAAGGCTGGGAGTAATGGAGTTGCAACCAGTATGTTCATTATGAAGAAAAGAGGGGGTGTCTGGTTAAAGCTAACAGACAGTCTTTACCCTTTCTGTAGTAAACTTGGTGTGACTCTGGCTGTTCAGCCAAATGAAACAGCCAAACAGAAACTAGACCCAAGTCTGGTTACCAACGGTGTGATGATGGAGCTGCTTGATTTTTCCAGAGTGCTTTGTGGAACAGAGACTCGGATAGTTAACAGTTTGGTCAAGAAAAACTTTGGTCATGAGTTTGATAGGCTGCAGTTTCGTGTGCAATACAACAAGCTGGCGGAGAGGAAATACGCCTGCCTCTCAACCGCGGCCAGGGATGCTTTCCGAAAGGAGACGTTTAAAGTCCAGATCGGGAAACGGGAACAGAGTTCCAGAAAAAGAAAAAATCCTGGCACAGATGACCAAGAACTGGCCAAAATAACAATAGTCAGTAAAAGAAGGAAAACATTAAGGCACAGGGGCAGTGACACTCAAGACACTTTGCAGGATAGCAACTTGTCATACATATGTCCAGTTGATTTTGAGACAGAAACGCAGTCGGGTACGGCGGTCCGACCAGAACAAATCAAGCCTGAAAATTTGTCAGGAGTGGCTGCAGAAACACAGCTGGCAGAGTCAGTGGATGTAAAACAAGAGGAGGAGGAAGTTTTCATCTCCCCAGCGCAGCCTCAGACTAATGGTCATTCCTCTGACATGTCACACTTTCACCTGAAAGACCAGTCTCTAAAAGCACTCTCGAATCTGTTTTCTGAAGACAAAAACGAGGACATAAATGTAAGAACACCCAAGCAGAGGCTGTGGATAAGACGTGCTAATCGCTCCAAACAAATCCTGAAGTCGAGCAGAGTGAATGACTTGTTTGCCCACAGCAGAGCGATAGGTTTAGACTTTAATGTTGGTTCAGGCAACAAACAGAACTTGGATCTACAACTGTTCACCAACTGGATGTTATTGGAGGTTTTTAAATTTGCAACTGGGATGACAAAGAGCTTGGGCAGATTCTTAAGTGAGATTCTGATCAGCAACTTCAGCCTCGTCCTCGTAGATGAACTGCATCAGCGCAATTTTATATTTTACTTCATAACAAAAGAAAAGAATATTCAGAACCACCCTGACAGACAGAAAAGGGAGTTTCTCAACAGTCAGTTTAAGTGCCCTGAAGTGTACAACATGGTAGACGTGACCAGCAATTTTCAGAGTGAAAAGGAAGTTGAGACAGTGCAGCAGATTGACTGCGATTCATCAACCTTGACCGCAAACTGGCAGACTGAGGAGGAGCCCTACCCGTTCTGTAAGAGAATAGGTCTGAACCTTTGGTCGACAGAAGAACGCCCGGCGAGCCAGAAGCTTGCTTTGTCTGTCCTGACCACTGGTGCTGTGCTCGAAATATTCAGCTTTGTCAGAGAGCTGTGTGGGTCGGTCCCTGACACAGTTAACGATGTCCTTGAGCACAATTTTGATCTCGAATTGCGAAGTGGGGCAACTAAGGCCGCGCAGGTGATCCAGAGATGGTACCTGATACAGAAAAGCTTGATGAAAAAACAAAGCATGACACCAAAGATATACAGGTGGTTGAATAGGGTTGTTCCACTGAACGGTCACTCGCCCTCACCAGCTGGCAGCGGCGTGCAGGGTCTGGATTCAGGTGACGTGAAGCCAAGCACAGCAAGGAGGGCACGCAGTAGGAATGTGTGTCAGGTGGAAAAGGCCAACAGCTATCACTTCTGCAAAGAAATAGGGTTGAAACTTGATGTCGGCTTAAAATCAGAAGCCAAACCAAAACTTGATTTGCAGGTGCTGACGAGGGGGGTCCTCTTTGAGATGCACCGGTATGTAGAACAACACAGCAACCGATATGTTCCCACTCTGTACGAGATTCTAGAGTACAACTTCGATCTGAGCTCTCAGAGCCATCGCAAGGTGGAGTTTGCCTGGTCGATCGCATCCCAGGTGATAGCCATGGTGCGGAAGAATGGCAGAACGGAAGATTACCTGACTAGAGTGTTTGAGTTGCCCATGGAGGTCTCAGAGTCCTCACAGACCGTCTGCAAAGAGGAGCCGGAGGACGGCTTTGGCAAGCTGGGCTTTAATGACGACGACATTATGTTTGTCCGGAAATTGAAGCCTGTTGACATCGAAGTAGAGATAGAGTAGGGTCATAGCTACTGATTTTATTGTAGAAAATCTGTTCAGATATTTTCATTGTTGATTTATCAACTTTTTGTCAGAAATGTGTGAATCCTGGTTTTGTAAGACCCAAAGGGGGCCTCTTCAGAGCAGTCCTGCAGATGTTCAGTTTATCTTTACAGAAGACAAAGGCACCAAATATTTACATTTGAGAGTGGAAACCAAGTAATGTTTAAAGTTTTAGCTTTCGTGGTCTATTAACAGTATTATTTGCAGCTGACTAACTTCTGCTTGTGGCTCATAAGAATTCAAGAAACCCAAGACTCTTTACAAATGTCTTACATCTGTAAGTGCAAACCTCAGGATGTTTCCCACCATAACAGGAACAGCCCTGTCATTACCAGGACACGTGATTTAAACAGGACACTGATACGACTTCTTTAGTCTTTATTAAACAGCAGCCTTTTCACTTCAAATTGTTGTAAAAACAGCTCAGACCATCAATATTCATATTTAAAGTTATGTTCTCTGTGTTTGGGCTAGTTTAGGTTTTGCAGGCCTATCTGCAGCTAGTCACACTGGGTATAAGTTAATAAATGGTTAACCCAGAATAAGTCTGCAGTTGTAAATAACCAGTTTATAAATGGACTCTGGTCTGGATGGTCTGCAGCTGTTTTCCAGAAGACACGTGATGCTGTAAACAATTAATTGAAATGAATAAATCCATTAATTAAAGGTTATAAATGATGCTTCATTAGAAAATTAGTCCACAGTTTCTAACCTCACATTAACCAAATGCAGAGTGTGTCAGGCCTGTATTTTTTCTGCCTTCATGTCTTGAACGACTCTGCTCACTTCTGTTGTTTCACGTTTGACACACAAACATCCAAAGCTGAAGGAAGGATGGGTGTGATGTGACAGGTGAAAAGGTAGTTTCCCACCTTGGATGTACAGTATTTTTCCTCTGCCATAAGGAAGCTGCTAATTAAAGTTTCTTTTATCTTTACTGTACATTTGTCAGATTTCTTTTCACTTGTTTGAGCTTGTCAAAAGAAGTCATGTATGAATATTAAAAAGGGAAAGTCAAGATCCATTGCAACACAATACAAACCCAATTCAGGGGGACTCTCCTACTTTACATGGCAGCTGTTGCTTCTAAAAACTGTTAAAATCCTTTTGTGAAGTAATTTTAACCTTGAATTGAGTTCTTAAAAATTAACTTTTAAAACACTGAGCGTGTAAGGATGATCAGAACGTTTTGTGAAGTGTTGTTCCGTTGCGTCAAACAGGTAAAGTCAAGCAACCAAAAACGCATGTGCTGCCATGAGAACACAAGCATTGGGATTCAGTTTCTGTGTTTTGAAAAATGTAGATTTTATGATAAAACAGCTGAGAAAACAGAAAACCTGACATGACGCCTGCAATTGTTTAGCTGAGAAGTGTTTGTTGTGTTGCCACTAGATGTCGCCAGAGCCCAGGGCTGCAATTACTGTCAGCCTGTTCATCATGTGTTTGTCCCAGTAAACATGCCATTTTTACAGTACAACCACCCAGGAAGTGCTGACACACTGTGATAGACATATCAGTACAGTCTGTTAATAAATAAATTGGCTTTATTGTCCATTTCCATCATTCTTTGTGAAAGATGTAATCAATTCTGTGGTATCAAAGTCTTAAAGATTGTTTAATTTAATTTGGTGACTCTAAAATGCAGGGTCTAGTTGTTGTCCCTTATCAATTTTGCAAGCAGATTTTCTTCTCATATGATCAAATCATGTGGTCTTGCTGACCAAAGTATTGTGCATAAATAGAATAAAGGGAATGAAACTGAATCATTGAAGAAATTAAAAGGAGAAAAATAATAAACAAATGCCAACATCAATAAAGAGTATCAGGCTCTATTAGGTGTCAAAAGGCCTGGGAAATAAAAAATTCTTAAGCGAAGATTTGAAAACAGCCCGGTCTATAGCAGATATAACAATAAGTGGGTGATTATTCCAAAGTTTAAGGGCCACAACAGAAAAACCACAATCACCCCACTGTGTGTGACAAGACACCTTTAGTTAAAAAAACAACCACTTAGGTCTAATAAAGCTAACTGGATTGCCAGGACATTTAAAACCCTGAAAACAAAAAAACACAACTTGAACTCAATTCTAAGGCGAACTGGCAGGCAGCGACGAGAGGCCAGCATCGTGGTTAATATATGCGCATGTTTCCGGGTGCTTGTCAAAAGGCAAGCAGCAGCATTTTGGACCATCTAGAGTGGCAAAAGGGATGATTGACTGATTCCAGATTACAGTGTGTTGCAGTAGTCAAACCTGGAGCTGACAAAACCTTGGACTGCAATTTCTAAGTCATCAAAGGAAAGAAATGGCTTCACTTTACTCAGTAATCTCAGTTGGAAAAAGCTTAACTTCACAATTGAGCTGATCTGCACATCAAACTTTAAATCACTATTAAACATCACCCCAAGATTTTTCATTATAGGTTTAACTTGTGGAGGTATTGGTCCAAGATGGAGGTCAAGCTAATTAACTATGTAAAGCAGCTAAAACCAGCTCCACCTGCTCTGCCAGTGAAATGCTGCTTGAACACTGATGCATCAGTAATTACGATCTAACAGTACAGTCACTGGGGATGATGAGTACTTTAGATACTTAAGGTACATTTAGCTAATACTAGGCTACTTCTGTACTTAAGTAGGATTTAAATGCAGGACGTTTACATATGAATGTATTGGTACTTTGACTTGGTTAAAGGATCTGAATACTTTCCACTTATACAAATTGTTTTTCACAATCAGGTTGTAATTATTATTTTTGGCTTATTGCGTTTCACCTCGCTCTGCGCTCACACTCAGTTCTGAATGTGAGTTAGTCATCACTGTTCCCAGGTGTAATACTGTCTCCGTGTTTCCTCGGTTTATTACGAGCCTCAAAGTGGTTTGTTCCTCCTGTATCACTGCATGTTTTCCTCGCTGTTGATTTCTGTTTCCTTTTCTTTCCCCATCCAGACTTTGATTCAATCTGTTTTACAAGCAGGATGTTGGCTTCGGCAGGGCTACCAAAGCCCCCAGACGCAGGGGAGAGTATTAAAGAGAAGCCACATCAGAGTAAATACCTGCCTCTCTCTGTCTGCCTGCTCAGAGTGAGTCAGCCCACTCAGGCTGGCAGAGTGCTGCCCTTGTTATCCCTCTTCAAACACCTTTTTAGCGCATGCACACACACACACACACACACACACACACACACACACACACACTCCCACACACACACACACACACACACAAATCCAACAAACAACAAAACCTGGCAGGAAGAAGTGGAGAGGAACTGCAGCAACCAGAAACCAGTAGAAACCATGAGCAGTGAAAGACACAGCCAGACTGAATCGACACTCTGTTCTTATACCAAATCCTTATTTTCTGCACATTTAAAAACCTGAATGAAACAATCCCAGCTGACATAGAGACAGGTCGCCAGTCTGTCACAGGGAGTAAAAATAGTGGCTGACAAAAATGTGTAGGCAGAGGGGAATCCTGGGAAGTTTATTGATGATATGTGTTGTAACAACTAGATCAGGAGCAACTCAAACGAAGGAGAGGCTTTGCACATAATTAGATTAGAGTTATTAGACATAGGGAAAGCTAAATAAGTGTGAGTGTAGTCTTTAAGAATTCAACCTATCATTTGTTTTAGGGGAACTCAGGCCACAAGCAGCACGGGAATATCCCCCAGGAGGAGTCAAGTGATGGAGAAGGGGTGAGCGATGGCTGAACAGCTGGAGCTGATGGGCTGAAATGACAGCGGACGGCAGCAGAGAGAGGTACAGTTTAAGCTTTTAACACTGTTAAGTCTGATTGATTAAACAGTGAAAGCCCTCAGTCAGCTGATGAAGTTGAAGTAAAGTTTGAAGATAGTTTTCCCTCACTGAGCTTTCAATAAGCTTAGCTTTCTGACAACTGAAGCAGCACCGGAGAGTGAACCAGCTACAGGTTCATCATCACCATCTCCTAACAGGAAGCTACTATAACCACTATAATCATTACACAATATTGTATGGTCTTGCTGAGTTGCTGGTAATGTACTTAATAATAACAGACTGAGTCGTCATATGTTTTCAGGTTGAAAACTGGCCTTCAGCTTGTATACAGTGTATCCCCATAGGGCAAAGCTTACATTAACGTTAGTATAAATTAGAGAGTCAGGAAAATTAATAGTTAATCAATAAATTATGTACAGTCTTTGTCGGGTTTGGACCAAGATCAGTGAAACATATCCACAATCTGTTTAACATCCATTTGTGCAGCTGCTAAAGACTTTTTGCACTTAATGATTCTGACTAGTGGAAGCGAGCATACCCCGTTGGTTTTTTATGGTCTATTGCTCCTATGATGCCGACTGGGCCTGTAACCGATTCACCATAGTTTTTACAAGTAAAACATGATTTGAGTAAAGTTTCTGTTTGTAATACAATAATTTTGTTTCGGTGTAGTAGCAGGAGTAAGACAGCTTTCCCCCTGTAGTAATGCTGTAAAACCTCACAGAGACAGCTTCTCACAGCAGGATGTTGAGGAAAGACGCTGAAATATGCAAAGCTTTCAGACTGTACAGACTTAATAACTGCTACAGATGCATGTGTTTACTTGTTGATTCGGTTGTTTGTACTGACATGACAGTGGTTTGAAAAGGGGCCCGGGCTTTTCTGGTGCGCCACTGTTTTAGATGCAGTAAGTGGAGGAATTAATAAACACCACAGGGAGAAACAAGTCACAGAGAAGTCTTGGTTGTAATGACATGACCTGCTCTCACCCGCATGATTTAGCATCCGAAGTACAGTGCAAGCTGAGAAAGACAAAAGGCACCGACACGCTCTGTCCGACCGGTGCCTCGTCTGCTCTGACATAATGACACACACACTCATCGCCTCTCAAGCTGCTCTCCCACACACATCCCACACATTTTCATCCTGATTCATAATCTGCTCAGAGACTCTCTAGGCTCACAGCAGATCTCCGACATAATCTGGCACTACTGGTGTCTTTCACTGCAGCACATTGATATATTAAAAACAACTTTATTCGCATAGGGATGGAGGCTGCATAGCTCCCTCACTCCTACATGTAGAGCTCATGGGATTTATGAGGTTAGACTCTCCCAGATCTGATTTTCATATAAACGTACAGACAAATCCTGGGAATGATCTCCAGATTTGAATGAAAGGCAATGTGTGCTTTGCTGCCTGATCCCTGTTTACAACAACCACCAACAGGTAGAAGTGTCCAACATGCTATTAAAGCTTTCATTCATGACTTTTCAGGTCAGTTGCTATTATTCTTGAAAGGTGTCTAAAGCCAAGGAGTTCTTGCATAAACATGATTATTTGATAAAAGGACCTCTTTTCAGTTGATCAATGTAGGTAGAGCGATTCAGATTAGTACAAGTAGACCATCCACTGTTTATTGATTCCCAGTGAATTCATCAGTACAGTCACTAGAGTGAGATGAGGACGCAGTTAGCTTCTCATAAAGACTAAGAGCAGCGGGAAACAGCTAGCATGGCTCAGTGCACAGCATTAGCATGTTATATCACATTTGTTTAACTCGTACAAACAGAGAAATGTTTTCAGTGCGTGGAATAGTTCTTGACCAAAAACAGCTGAGTGCCCATGGGGTTGTCAGGTTTGATGTTATGTCTCTACAAAGACCAAAACCTCTGCTCCTTGACCACATCTGGGAGCTCCTGTTTGTTGTGTACAGCAGGATGTACTAACAACTTTAACCGAATTATTTATATATAGTAGAAAACCTAAAAATCTGATGATTCTCAGCCAAGTTCTGAAGCCGCGTTTTTCTAACATAAACTGATTATCTCAACCAAGACACTGGACACATCTTATTGCTCTGCAGGAAATATATAACAAATAGTTTCTGCTATTTCCTCACATTTTATTGACTAAACAGCGATTAATCAAGAATATAATTGCTAGATTAAATGATAATGAAAAAA